TATTAGGTGTGTTCAGAAAAGATTGTCTACATTGTACGGGTGGGTTTATGAAGGCTCCAAGGTCAGGGACAGGTATAATGTAATGAATAGCTTAATGTTGGAGATAGGTTTGGGTTGGACTAGGTCTAAGTCTAGGCTGGGTGAGGTTTAGTGGTATGGGTCAGTCAAATGATGGGTTATGGTTAAGGTATGCACAGGAGTAGTGGTAGGATTAAGGGCAGGATTAAGGACTGGTTAAGTTTAGTGACTGGTTTGGTAGTAAAGGCTACTTTAAGAATGAGGTTAAGTTTTATGTATGGATTAAAAAGTGGGTTGCCGTTAGTGTAGGACAGCTTTAGTTGGATGGTTTCATTCAGCGGTGTGTTCAGAAAATATTATTACATGGTATGGCTTTACAGGTGCTGTAAGGTCAGTGACAGATATACTGGAATGGGTTTATGTTGGAGACCAGTTTAGTGTCGCATGTGGGTTTAAGAGCAGATTGATGTTTGGCACAGGTTTAGTGGTATCGGTGGGATAATGTTTAGGTATGGGGAAGTTTGGTGTTATGGGAAGTTTTTGGGACTGGTTAAGGTTATGGACAGGTTTGGTAGTATAGTTGGCTTTATTTGTATGGGTGGGTAAAAAGTGGGTAAAGGTTATGGGTAGGACTGTGTTGACTATGGGTTGGTTTATGGGTGTTCAGAAAAGATAGTTTATATGGTAAAGGTCAGTTAATGAGGGCTCTAAGGTCACTGACAAGTATAGTGGAATGAGTGGGTTAATGTTGAAGGTTTAGGTGTAGTGGTACATATGGGTTTAAGAGTGGGTCAACGTTTGGAACAGGTTTAGTGGTATTGGCTTCTATAAGCTTTAGAAAGGTTTAGAGTTATGGGAAGTTTAAGGGACTAGTTAAGGCTAGGAAAAAGGTTTAGTGGGATGGGTGGTCAAAGAGTAGGTTATAGTTAGGGTAGGCACAGGTTTAGTGGTATTGGCATGTTTAAGGGTCAGTTAATGTTAGGGACGTGTTTATGTCACAGAATTTATGGTCATA